ACATACTTTAGTAAAAATAGCGCACCAAATACAAATAAGGATGTAAAGGTGCGATCGCAAGCTTCTTATAGATATGCCTGATGCCAATTCCTCAATTTCCTGCATTCATTCCTGTTGTCGATGTGCTGCTTTCCTTATTTTTATATATTCCCTAATCTTAAGCGTAAATGCGAAATCCCTGTTGCTTTCAAAGCTTATTGATTAAGATTCACACTTCATATTACTTTGGCATAACATGCACACAATATGCAATACCACAGACACAACAATTTCATTATCATAAGTTTGATTATTTAGTCAAGGAAATAGCTGCCTCTACATCCACCTTCCCTCATCTACAAGAATGTGTGTTGGGCATGAAATAGCTGACTAAAGCATGGCGAGCATCATTGAAATCTCAAAATTAGCTACAACAAGTCAATGTGATTGCGTTTTTTGGTAAAGTATCATTTCTCACTATCGATGTCTCAAATTGCAGACCGTTTCATCGGGGTCGCTGGAATTTGCGCAACGGTCCTCACTCAGCGGCATTCATATTTCCAGTGGGTCAAACTCCTCCTAATCAACTTTTACTTCGAAATGGAAAGTCATGTCGCGAAAAAACAGTTGTAGGCACACTCGAATGCAAATAATAATCATTAGTAAAGAATTAAAAAAATAAAACCACTTAAAAAAGGGTCGAATTAAATATCGGTATGATTCAAGGAAACAGGGAGGTAGCATACACATCTCAATCGGACAGCAATTGTTAAGGGCAGCCTTAAGCAATCAAAGATAATCTGGATCAGAAATTCCATAAAATCCGACAAAACGAAGGCTGAGATGCAAAGTTAACCGAAATTCTATATAAATGACTAACTTCATGCGACTCCGGTATCCTTTGTGTCTATTGAGAGAGTTAATTGTTGGAAGAGAGACTGGTTCGCTGGGACTGAGGAGCTCAGGAGCATCCGAAGCGTTCTTTATACTATCCACGCCCCGCACGTCATTCTCTTCCATCTCCAGCTCTCGTCCACTTCCAACCATTGACACGGCTGATGCTATTGTGGGCATTGGGGCATCTCTTCGATTGATGCAATCCTCAGGGTCATTTTGGCCAATGTTTTCATTGAGCCTTGCTCTCCCAGTTATTACCGTTGGAAGGACTCTGGCTTTGACCTCCTCTTCACATATTTCATCTCTGATCGTCAGCACAGGTGCAGAAGCCATTATGGAGGATATTGGCAATCGCATTGTGCCAACCTGTGAGGCTGGAACACATTCGTGCTGTAACTTTGGCCAATCGGCGCTGTAGGCTTCTGGCGAACCAGCCAGAGAAGCAGCGTGGCGCGAGTTTATAAAAGACCCTTTGCATGGCCGAGCGTCTATTTGATGCAAGCCCATCATCTCTTCTGCTTCGTTTGAAGGACCCTCCTCGATGCAACCTTTATTTCCTTTTCTGAAGTGCGGAAATTGATGATCTCTGTCTTGTGGCACGAAGGCTTCTTCCTTGCTCCTCTTCGTTACGCATGCGTCTGAATGATTGTCGTCTCTTAACACATAACAGTCGACCAAATTATCATCACAGTGGGCTTCTAGCTCCTGAGGGATAAGTGGTTGACTCCAGTGGCACACAGGGGCTGGAGAGGATGGGGAAGTTGAAGAAGCTGAAGATGATAAAGCAGAGGCAGGGAGATTGGAAGGTGGGGTGCTAGAGGAGTGTCGCTGTCTGATCAGCTGGTGCATCATAGCTAGCTCTTCGTCCGTAAAATCAGTCTCACTGGCCTGAGGCACAAAGCTTGCGACCAGCTCTCGGCTAGATAGGTTATCGGCAGAAGTTCCCTCCGATATTTGAGGCGCAGTTTCTGTCTCACAAGACAAATCGACTTCAGGATTCGCCGGGCTGAGATTCCTCATGCTATTGTCTCCATCTGATAACGATGCCATAGCCAGATCTATGTTCGGATTCGTAAGTGTTAAGATTCGAGGTCCGACTTCATGATTACGAGAATTGTTTTCAGATGAAACGACCAGACCAGAAATCGCTTTGGGCCCGAATCCTAGGATAGAAGACGAACTGATTGGTCCCAGAAGGGCGGTATCACAGTTTTCACAGCTAGTGAATGGTATCTGGAGGTGAGAGACTGTCGGATTTTGAACGTTATTTATTCTGGTGCCAGAACTTAGATCCATCAGTCGATCTTGTCCGACCAAAATAGAGGATTTCACCTGAATGGTTGGTATAGTTGAAGTATGAAGGCAAGCATAAGGTGCAAAAGGAAGAGGAGAAAATAAGAACAAATTAAATAAATTGGCGGCAAAAATAGTGGCGAGTGAACTATAGAAAATAAAATGTCCAAACTAAACAACTTACAATATTAAGATAATTTTTTAAAAAAAAGCTTTTTAGGCAGAAATTGTCATTACATAGGAAAGTTTTATTGGCCGCCTTAGGCTGCTTTGATTTACCAAAATGGAGTCTTGACGACAGATGCTTTAAAATACTACTTATATTATTCAAGGTCCTAATCCTAACTTGCAGTAGCTCAAGCTCAGTCTAGCTTTCCCATTAATTTTCCGCGTTAGTGCGTTATTTTTAAAGCGAATCAGACCAGTAGAATTGAGATTAGCCCC